GGCCGAAACGTTGTAATAAATATGGCGACAAAGATGAGGACAATAGTTCGAATAATGTAAGTAATTGACTAGGGAGTTAAACATTCACTAGGTGCTTATATTTTATGACCTTGTGCCATACTAAGCTAAACTAAAGAAACCTCAATATAAGGTGACCTTTTTAATCTAGTAAAAAACAAAACACGTTTAATGCGGGACAGATATGCATTATTATCATTTGTTTCCACTCAGCTTGCATCATTTTCTTTACAATTTAATGATTTCTGCGAGATTTCATCGCAAATCCCACCTGATTTATGGGTGTCCTAATTGCGAACAGAGGCTTCCCTTTGTCCGGTTGTCAACTTCCTTAGCTGGCTTCCATTAGAATGATTCGTTGACAAATTCTAGAGTAAAAAGAAAAAAAAAACGGAATTGTGTGGAGGAGAGGTTAATGGCCCTGGAGAAACAATGATATTCTAGGATTTCAATGCATGTTTTATCTATTTCTGTTATGCTAAAAGTACAGAAGCGTGATGGGGGAAATATTTCAGTTGTTTGAGGAGAGCTGTTTAGGCTACTCGTAATTTAAATGTTTGTTTCTTACCGAACGATTAAATTGATTTTCTTGTTCATCGGAATCATTCATTTCCATTCCGTCTCTGTTAACGTCTTCAAACGTTTACTTTCACATTTCTCTTTTTTGTCTGAGAGTTTTCATTCATTCTTCAACCATATTCTTGTAATTTATTTTTGTTTTTTGTATTCGTTGATTTTTTTAAGAATGTTTTTTTTTGTATTGGATATCTTTGTTTGGTTTGATCATTATTATTATTTTTATTATTATTTTTCCGTTTATCATTTTCTGCTAAAATATCATCTTTTAGGGATGAGGAGTTATCATTATTTACATTATTTACACTCAGACTATTATCCTCATCTTTGTTGTTATCACAATATTTTGCCCATGGCTAGAATATTTCCTGGTTTTTAAGGTTTTGAACAATCTTATGATCCTGTCTGAATTTCTGGGATGAAGATTTATCATTATTTACATGATTTACACTCAGACTATTATCCTTATCTTTGTTGGTTTTATCACAACGTCGTGTTCTCCGGTCTTCATCAGGTGTGTCTCCACCCGGATAACCTACATAGTATTCCTAACTGAACGCTTTATTTAATCTAGGTTGTTCTGATTCCACTGCCCATGCCTCGAGGTATCTCGTCTAGTTCGTATTTTTTCTTATTTTTAATACTGTTCCATTATTGTTCGGCTCAGGCCCAAGAAATGAACTCTGAATTATTTTCGTCAAATACATGAAACGAGTCTTTAATCCACGCGGCTATTTGCACCTGGGACAATTCTCCGTGAAGAACTTGGAGACCTAAACCTAACCTATCTACTGATGAATGTCGTTGCTTGTTATTCTTGACAGGCTTCATGTGGACGATCATAATTTCCAACAACTTCTTTATCACTTGTAGGTTTTAGTAAAGATTGTCTTTTCGTTATTCCTCCATGTTCTGTCAAGCGTTTATACAAGCTCCTTGAGTAGGTTATTAGCTGCCTTCTTCTGTTCCTCCCGTTAATACTGTTGTAATCTAGGAAATGTTACTGGATGAAGAATAACCAAAACGGAGGTTGGAAAGGAAATGGTAATCTTTATAACATCAACAAAACACAATACTCGCCAGCGACGTGAAGTATGTAAACCACTTGTAGTGGTGGTCTATGTAGATAGCATATTACGATATTTACCTGCCTGCCACGAGGTAAGATGTGGCACAAGGCCTAATTTAATGTGGGGAAATCCAAGCCCGTGGGCTCTGGCAAAAATTGCCCGTAGACCACGCATACGAATGATCGGGTATCTGTCAACCTCCTCGGACGAGACTCTACACTTCGTTATAGCCTCTTCCGTGTTCCTCTCCGCCTGAAGGCATAGAATTCGACATAGCAAGAGCTTCCCATGCTGACAGCTCATGCTGCCAGCGTAGACTGCATATTGCCCCGACTTACAATAGTGTCCAACGTATTTATGAGAATTGGAACACACCCATTAGTGTTCATAGGTACGGTATATAACAAATATGCCATATGAGTATTAAACTCTCCAAGATCTCTTTCCTTAATTTGTGTCCCAGAAACTTCAAATGTCTCTTTCTGATTCCAATCATAAGCATCAATTTTGCTTCCATTTTCCGTAAAACGTCTTCTTTACTCACATGTTCCGTCCATAGGATTATCTGCATCCTTCTGTCGAGGCATAAGTCTCTGTCGCTTCAAGGATCCGCTTAACTTGTAAGGTAATTGGCCAAAATTCGCTGCTAGAGGATGTGAGTGCATGCATTAAAATCAAATTTCGTGGTTTTAAAACTGCACCAAATGTGACAATATATATATATATATATATATATATATATATATATATATATATATATATATATATATATATATATATCAAGTATGTAGGGCAGTTCAATTTACATTATGTTGGGTTGTCCGCCCCTTTTTATACAAATGGACTCACCCAGTATATACATATACTACGGCTACGTGAAGACCCGAGAGAGCAAGATCGAGGAGTCGAGTCGAGAGTGACAGAGTAAAAGGTTGTAGGTAACCGGAAGAGTGAGGGTGAGGTAACAGCGTTGTAGGAGTCACAGTGAGCGAGCACGGAGACTCAGTAAGAAGTCATACAGCGATACTTCAATACCAAAGACTGTATATATATTTTGCTACTAACCCATATTCCTGGAACTACTAACCTGCTTTACCAGTTTGTATTATGACGTTAATACATTATTTTCATGTTTGATCATGAGCCGTTCTAAGATTCGTATAGTGGCTTTAATTTCGGGTGTTAATAAAGACAAAATCTTTCCAACATTTGAATATTTTTATCATGCTGTTTATTGATCTAAGATTCGGGTCATATGAGCCATCATCAGAATGGTTATATGGACATTACAGCAGAGATGTTCACCATCAACGATGACATGCTGTCATGTTTACATAGAAATTTTCTATACGACGATAGCGGTCGCAGAATAGCAGACGCAGGGCGTAAATTCGTAACGCGGTTCTATGATGTCGTACACGACCAGGTGAGAGAAAGAAATATTATCATCAGAACCATATGTTTATATGCAATGTACTATATTGAGACTGGTTTGAGATGTAATTTAGTTGAATGTGTCTTGCTTTGTTTTAATGTAAATGAGATCCAATAATTTATGGTTCTTTTTACTATGTGTAAGTGTGAGTATAGCTGTATTATCAACACAATGGCTATGGCTTTATCCACAGTGGATAAAGGCGTTGGTTAGATCCAGTGACAGACCCAAAGAAGGTGAGTTCAATTCCTGGTTAAGGCAGTGGAGAACTTTCAGAGGGAAAATTAGCAGGAGATAACTGATAACTGACATCCATCAAACATGGCACGTGGAACTAGAACAGTCTACCCCAGTGATCGAAATAAAGGGTTCAGTTCGAAATTCCAACCACCTGAAGAAGGCCGGAGCGTACAACGGCCGAAACTTTGTGACAAATATGGCGACAAAGATGAGGACAATAGTCCGACTAATGTAAATACTGTACATAATACCTCATCTCAGAAATATAGACAGACTCTGAAATGTTGCTTAATGGAATTAAGGCAAGAAAGGTGACAGGTAAGTCTACGAGAGAGCGTAGTTGTTGTAAAACCAATTTATCTAGTGGGTTTATTATTAGTATCAGAGATACATCTCTAAATGGGCATGTAAATTGATACACTACATCGGTTTTATGTAGAGGATTTAGTTGAGTATTTGTAGGGTTATTGGAGACTATGAGGTAAATTGTTTTAAATTTTTTATGATATATAATGAGATTAACTTGTTTATTATTATTAAAGGGTTTAACATTTCTACCTATTATGTTTTTGAGTGTTGTTTCATTGTGTTTATAATTATTATGCATTTGGTTACAATAATATAAGTTAATAGTATTATGTTTATTTTGATGTACACTATTATGATTACAATTATCATTAATATTATCAATTTTGTTAGTGATATTATTCAGTTTATTGAGATGCATTTTAATTTGTTGATCAATGACAGAATTTGGGTATCCATTATTAACGAGTGTTTGATGTTATGTAATTCTTTATAGAATATGATTTTGGAAGAAGATATCACTTCTTAAAAGAACTCTTTGAGGAAACAAAAAAAAAAATCATACGTAGAAATTCAAGAAAATCATTTAAATAGATATTTGCAAACTTTATCCAGTCTGATACAAGGCTACAAGAACGGATCCCACAGTGAAGTTCTAAATCATAAGCAACGATTTACTTGTCAAGCTTACTAATCATTGATCTATAGCAGGAGCCCTTGATAATATTATATAAATGTTTTGAAATGTGCAATGTTTCTGAGAAAATATGGTAATAAATCGTGAAAATCATTTTCTTAGTCACCACAACATTTTTCCAGCATCGTTTACTTTAGACATTTTTTCTTTCATAAATTATTCATGTGAAGTTTATTCTGAGTGTCTCGAAATCTGATAGCTAAAAAGAAAATGGAACAAAAATTCATCATAAATAATTTTGGTTGTAGAAAACCGAGAAGACATGAACATGATATGAAACTAGAAAAAATATTTTATCGCAAAGTTTCTTATATATCCTTCTTTTTTTCAAAATATTATTGTCATCGTTTTTTTCATTTCCATTTTTTTACCTTCTCTTTTTCTTTTTTCTTTTCAGCATTCATACGCTATTCTTCCTTTCGTTCTTTTCCTAATCTATGTGTCTTTTTCTGCTTTTATTTCAAATAGTCACCTGCCCTAATTTCTTTCTTTTTTCTTTTCCTAACAACTGTGCTGTCTTTCCTTTCCTTTCATTATTCATATATTCTTTTTTTCTTTCTTTCCCTTATCCATATGATTTTCTTTCTTTCTTTCTTTCTTTTTTTTTTCTTTCTTTTCATTATTACTATGGTCTTCTTTTTTTCTTTTCATTATTAATATGGTCTTCTTTCTTTCTTTTCATTATTACTATGGTCTTCTTTCTTTCTTTCTTTCTTTCTTTTCATTATTAATATGTTCTTCTTTCTTTCTTTTCATTATTACTATGGTCTTCTTTCTTTCTTTCTTGCTTTCTTTCTTGCTTTCTTTCTTTCGTTTAATAAATTATCAGTTATTCTGTTTATTATTCATGTGTTCTTTTTTCTCCCTTTCTGTTTTTTCATAATCTGTGAGTATAATTTTCTTTTTCTTTTTTAATTATTCATTCACAATTATTCTTTCTTTCTTTCTTTCTTTCTTTCTTTCTTTCTTTCTTTCTTTTGTTTTTCCCTTTCCGAAATAATAAATTATTCATTTTATCTATATAATATTTATATATTCAAAATAAAATGAGTTTGCACTAAGTAAATTTAAAGCCTCTGCTGACATATATACATACAAGTAAATGTGTCCTACACGATACGATACTACGTGTCAGTATATATATATATATATATATATATATATATATTATGTACACAAGCAACAATATATATATATATATATATATATATATATATATATATATATATATATATATATATATATATATATATATATATATATATATATGTGTGTTGTGTGTATATATAATTACTCTTTTTAAATATTGATTTTAAAATCATGGGAAATTTGTTGTTTAAAAACAGTGACTTTGCTAACTAGACACTTCTTTCATAGCTTATTGGCATCGCAAGTCAGGTCAAATAACGGTTCCGTGTAGAATACAGGTTCGATTTCCGTTGGAGGACACATATTGTCTACGATATTTCTCAGACGTTCCTGCCGGTAAATATATTTAATACTGTTTTTTTTTTTATAAACAGTGCATTTATTCAAATATTTGTATCTATAAAAATAACGTATAAACAGAAAAATATATTAAAATAATTGTCCATTTCATAATTTATGTATATATGATGGCTGACCACGCGTATCCGAGGATGCCAGTTTGCTAGGGCGGCTAGCTAATCCCAATTGCAGGTGCCCGCTCAGGTACATTTTTTCTGTTTGTTCAGCACCCACAGAGCCAAAATGTGGTTTATACTGCAGCTATGCTAAGTAGGCATTAGCTACAGTTTCTGGGATAGAACGCTTTACCCAGCGTGATCAACAGTCTGAATAAGGCCAGCAAGCTCAAAGCCTCGGTCACGATGACTTGTGATTTCGTGCTAGCACAACCACTGAGGACTCCGAGTTTCACTCACAAGGCTTTGGTCAACGCGTGGTATGGTTTTCAGGCATATTCCAAAGGTGCCACATGATGGGATAGCCTTCTCCAGACCAGTAATATCATGAAGTCACCTACCTGATAAATCGACCCTTTTATATATATATATATATATATATTATGCGCGCGTGTGTGTGTGTGTGTGTGTGTGTGTGCATTAAGGCATGTGTTGTTAAAGATTACAGAACTTTTCAATTCAATAATCGTTTTTTTTTCTGTTTTTTCTTGCTTCCTCGCAATTTTTTTTTTTATATTTGGGACTAAGTTATTGAAATAAGACCCTAGTCCATATTTTTTGCGCTTATTGTGAAACGTCATCATGGCTGTATGTTTTGGTTTGAAATAGGTTGCTTATTGTTTTAGTTTTATAGATAATATTTTGGGTATTTAGACAATGTTGTCGGATTAGTTCATTATTAAAAAGGAGGGGGCGGTGTTTATTATTTAGACGATTAGTTATTAATATGTTTAAGATGTTTCTGACAGTATTAAATAGTATTAGCTATACCTATATATTAAGCGCTCGTCAAATTTCCGTAGTCTTTAACAACACACACCTTAATAATGACATCCTGCCAATATATATATATATATATATATATATATATATATATATACAATGGGGGAAAATAAATATTCGTACACTCAAAAAATTATATTTTTATAAATGTAAAAGCCTTAAATAAAACAAATCTCGGCACATTTTATGTATAAAGACACATACTATTAAAAAATAATAATAAACTTAATTAATTCTTACCCTAACAGAAATTAATGCATTTTAAAAAATTCTAACTGGTGAAAAATTATTAGAATAAAATAATCAATTAATTATGAAAACAGTATATTCTAGAATGTTCCAGTAATGTTATCAGTAATTATAGTTAACGCTATTAGCCATTATCAAATCATTCTGCAATTTCTAGTCTGACGAGAAGGTTCTAATAATGCCTAAAGGTAAAGAATTGACTATTTCACAAAAACAACACATTTTGTCTCTTTGGAAAGATGGGAACAGTTACAGAACGATTTCTAACAACCTGAATATTTCTTTTACTACAATTGCTTCGTTCATTGCAAGGTTTAAACAGCGTCGCAAACCAAAGACGAACAGGTGCTCTGAGGAAGATTTCTTTAAGATCAGCAAGGATATTAGGACGCCAGATCCAACAAAATCCACAGGTTACCTGAGGAGAGCTGCAGGAACATCTGCGTACATTAGGGATTAAAGTAACCAAGCGTACAATAAGTAATGAACTACACAAAAACAGTCTGAAATCACGCATCCCAAGGAAGACTTCACTCCTCTTGAAACGACACAGAGATGCTAGGCTAAAATTCGTTAGAGAGCATAAGGATAAAGTATATTCGTTTTGGGAAAAAGTACTATGGACAGATGAAACTAAAATAGAGTTGTTTGGTCATAATTATGTGTGGAGAACACGTTACCAACTGTAAAGTTTGGTGGTGGCAGTATCATGATCTGGGGCTGTTTTTCTGCAAAAGGTGTTGGCAGAATATCAATAATAGATGGCAAGATGAATGCCGAAAGATATCAGAAAATCCTGCAAGACAATTTAATGCGTTCTATTGAGAGGCTTTGGCTACCTCCTGATTGGGTTTTCCAACTGGATAATGATCCTAAGCATACCGCGAGATCTACAAGGAAATGTACAGTATTTACATTAGTCGGACTAATATAGACAGACTCTACAAGGAAATGGTTAGCTGAAAGTAACGTTGATGTCTTGCAATGGCCAAGTCAGTCCCCAGACTTGAACCCAATCGAGAATTTATGGCGATATTTGAAGATTCAAATTGGGAAAAGAGCACCAATAAATATCAAGAATTTGAAGACAATATGCCAAGAAGAATGGGAAAATACCACTCAATGTGTGCAAATCATTATTTGAGACCTACAGGAATAGACTGGTAGCTGTTGAACTCAATAAAGGATATTCCACAAAGTGTTAAATTAAGTTAATATGCTTTTTTTTTGTTTTGTACGAATACTTTTTTCATCAGTTAAAATGAAAAAAAATGCATTAATTTCTGTTAGAATAAGAATTAATTAAGTTTATTACTATTTTTTAATAAAATGTATCTTTACACATAAAATGTATCAAAATTTGTTTTAGTTAAAGCTTTTATATTTATAAATGTCAAATCCGTCGGGTTTCGTGCCCGACTTGAAGCAAGCGTACGTCTAGCCACACTGAGGAGCTTTGATACAGCGAAACAGTCTGTACATGACTATATTGTTGTGGATTCCGAGATGAAATTCGGTCTCCAATGAATGACAAATGCAGGAATTAAAGATAAGAAATTAAATGTATTTACACAATAATACAATGGGTAATACTGTTAGTAAATCCAGGAACGCGCTTAGTAACAATAATATATATATATATATATATACAGTCCCTGAAGTAGGACTTCCTTAGAGTCTACGTGCTTGTAACTAACTTCTACAAGCGGTTACCTCACACTATTACTCTACCTCCAACACAATCTCAGCTCACTCTATATTCTGACTGACTTTGTGTATTTAACGGCAGCAGTCCAAGTAACACTCTGGTCGAGTCCACTTATATGAAAAAAGAGGACGACCCCATAACACACACACATATATATATATATATATATATATATATATATATATATATATATATATATATATATATATATATATATATATATATATATATGTATATATATATATATATATATATATATATATATATATATATATGTGTGTGTATAAACACGCCTATATATCAATATTTATACTAACACATACATATGTACATATACACGCATACGCATATATATATATATATATATATATATATATATATATATATATATATATATATATATTTGCATATGTAACAAAACAAATAGGCAGGAACATTAAGACATACTTGCATATTTTGATGGAAGATATAAAAAAGTTTGACAGGTTGTTTTCTTCTCGTCGTTTCAAGAACATTTCAGACATAACTCGATAAAGAGAAATTTTAGCGATTTTGGGCACTGTATATTAAACTGGGACTCAAAGTTGCTGAAGCTGCTCGCAGAATTCGGGAAGTGGGAAAAAAATGAAACAGTATCTGGCGTTATCGTCGAAATCTGATTTCGACATTTGAAGGGGTTGGGTTGCTTACTTTTTTAAATAAAGCACAGAAACAGGTAAGAATCATTTTGCGATTACGATGATTTAAGACGCTAAGTAGAGGGGAACAGCACTTGTAAACATTCAGAAGAGGTACAGACATCAAAGAATACCCATATGTAGAACATTACGTAAGCAGCAAAATCATATAAGGGTTCTTAAGTGCTTACGCACTAATGAAGAATGATGAGACATGCGAAAATAATTCTGACCTATATATATATATATATATATATATATATATATATATATATAAACCAAATGGATAAATAATATAGGTAAATGTACGAGAGAGCAATCAATGAAAGATATTATGCATATTTCTTAATATATACATATGTATATAATATATGTGTGTATATGTATGTTTATGTGTGTGTATGTGAGTTTATGTGTATGTATGTGTGTTTATGTGTGTGTGCGTTAAACTATCCATATCTCCTACTTTCTCTGTCTATCTATCTCTCTAACCATGTCTGAGTTGATTCACATCTATCTATCTGTACACGACTCTATTCATACCTATGTCAGTCTGTTCATATCTATCTATCTATCTATCTATCTATCTATCTATCTATCTATGTGCCTATTGCTATCTATCTGTCTGTGTATGTGTCTATATCTCTCTATCTATCACAGTCTCTTCATATCTATCTATCACATCTCTTCCATCTATCTATCTATCTATCTATCTATCTCAGTCTGCCCATATGTATCTATCTATCTATCTATCTATCTATCTATCTATCTATCTATCACAGTCTCTTCATATCTATCTATCTATCTATCTATCTATCTATCTATCTATCTATCTATCTATCTATCTATCTATCTCATCTCTCCCATATCTATCTATCCATCTATCTATCTATCTATCTATCTATCTATCTATCTATCTATCTATCACAGTCTCTTCATATCTATCATATCTATCTATCTATCTATCTATCTATCTATCTATCTATGTGCCTATCTCTGTGTATCTGTCTATATCTCTCTATCTATCACAGTCTCTTCATCTCTCTCTCTCTCTCTATCTATCTATCTATCTATCTATCTATCTATCTCAGTCTGCCCATATGTATGTATGTATGTATGTATGTATGCATCTATCTATCTATCTATCTATCTATCTATCTATCTATCTATCTATCTATCTATCTATCCATATCTATCTATCTATCTATCTATCTATCTATCTATCTATCTATCTATCTATCTATCTATCTATCTATCTATATTTGCTTCAGTCTATTTATATCGAACTAAAATTTAAAGTTGTGTCTCTTCATACCTTCCACTTTTTCTCGATGTAAAATTGCAACCGATATTTGTAATATTTCATACCCCCTCCCTATCAGTTTGCCATATTAACGTTCAAAAATACGGAAACTGCATCCTTATAAAATAGATTACAATTTTATCTATAGAGTTGAACTAAAAATGATTTGATAGCAAGATCCTGTTTCTTACATTTTTTAAAGATAAATAACTCTGAATAAAAATTAGTGACATTTAACTATTTGTAAAACAGTTTAACACCTGGTTAGATAATAGATATGAGATTATTGATATCTTATTATTTCCATAATTATCATTTCTTTTATAAAAAATGACATTTCATACGTATTTGACCATTCACCTGATGCTTATGTAGCAAGTGGTTTGCACTTGGAAATACCAGATGGTCAGGAATTAAATTTAATATAAATCAAGAAACTTTAAGAGGCATTTATCTGTGGTGACACCAATATCTACAATGTTCACCTGGAGAGATATATTAAACTTCCTTCTCGATGTCACATCAGAACATTAAAGGAGCTAGGTGCCTCAGAGGAGTGACCTAGAATGTATCTTCATAGCCACCAAGTGCAGAATCGAGCGTCAAATGTCGATGTCGATGAATAGAGAGCTAAACTCAAGATATACACAGAAGAGACAAGCGGGTGACAGGAAGCTAAGTAAAAACGCTTAATCTGCGAAAGGAGTGGGGTTATCTATTATATAGTGGCAATGTAAGCCCCTTTGGCACAGATGAAATGTCGCAAGCCTATCGCTGCTCTATCGTTATTAGCATGGTAAATGTTCAGCAGAATAATATTCTTAGATCTCTCCGTTTAGACAAGTGGTTCTCAAACATTTTTACCCATAGACCACTTTTACTCTTAATTCTTTTTGGTCGACCCCCACTCCATTCAATGAAAAAAAAAAAAAAACTTATTTTATTTATTACTAATAGATAAGTTTAGGAATTGTATTATAGAAATAGGAAATGTATATGCTTCCTTTATATATAATCCTTATACAATTTAAATATTAATTTTATTATTAATGTTTTATTTTTTAATATTTTTTATTGATTAATTTATATTAACATATTAATATTTTATTTTTATTAATATTTAAAATTATATTATTTATTATTAATATACTAAATTAATTTTTATAATAAATTATATTTATATAATTTTCCTTTATATATATATATGATGAAATGGACAAAGTTCGACAATTATTTTAAGACACTTTTATGCTTATACATTCTTTTTATAGATACAAATATTTAAGTAAATGTTTTGTTTTATAATAAACAGTATTAAACAACATTTACTGGCCTGAATGTCCGAGAAAATTTTCGTCCGCCGACAGGAATCGAAACTGTATCCTATAGGGAACCGTCACACAGCCTGACGTGCTTTTAACCGATTGGGCCACAGAGGAGAGTTCGGTCAGCAAGGTCGATTTTACTCTCTTTAAACTACAATCTTCCATGATTTTCTCCCGTACATTCATATCTGCTCATGGCGTAACAAATGTAAACAAATGACGTCATGCATTATGAAATGGACAAAGTTCGACAATTATTTTAAGACATTTTTATGTTTATACATTCTTTTTATATATACAAATATTTAAGTAAATGCTTTGTTTTATAATAAACAGTATTAAACAACATTTACCGGCCTGAATGCCGAGAAAGTTTCATAGAAAAATGTTCGTCTACCGATATGTTTTCTGCATGTTTTACAATTTTTTTTTCGAATTTTAGTAGTTTAATATGGCGTAAATTATTGTAGAAAATTCCAAATCTCATTTGTGACAACCGCTCCGAAGTGAAATTTCTCTATGGACTACTAAAATATTACGGTCAACTCCAATCTTCTGTTTTTTGTGTGGATCCCACCTCAGTAATGTTACATGGACCCCTTGAGTCCATATATACCCCGGTTGGGGGGCACCACGAGGCGGTGTAATGGTTAGCAAGCTTGGCTCGCTAGAACAATTACGACTGAGTAGTGAGTTCGATCCTCACTGCGTGACCTCTAATTTCGGCCTTGTGCCACATCTAAGCTACGCTTGGAAAATAAAAGGGCACCTCGGCGTGGTGTAACGGTTAGCAAGCTTGTCTCGCTAGATCAGTTACGACTGAAAAGTGAGTTCGATCCATACTTTCGGCCTTGTGCCACATCTAAGTCACGCTTAGAAAATAACTATATACCCCGGTTGGGAACCATTGGTTTAGACCTTTAGAGTTAGGGACATCCGCGTACACAGGATCGAATCAACCCCATTTCTCATCTTATAAGAAAGAAATTCCAATCAGGCTGTTATTTCCAGAGAACCTTTTCGAGCTAATTTCTGGTAAAGACGTCTGAGAGGATGCTTCACCGATTTATACAGTTTTAAACATGTCAAGTCTAAGGTTAACCTTTATTTGTCATATATACCGTCATAATCCGTACTTACTTCTTCCTCTCGTGTCCAAAGATCAAGCGAATTCAATAGCTCTATATATTGAGAGATGAACTGATATTTTAGCGAGATAATGTTTTTTCCAAACCTAATGAGTTCAACGATATCTACCACGATAATCTTTTTCATCTTCTTTCTTTTCATTGTTCATAGGTTCGTTTTCTTTCTTTCTTTCGTTCTTTCTTTCTTTCTTTCTTTCTTTTAATTATTCAGATGGCTTCCTTCCTTCCTTCTTTCTTTTTCCTCTTCTTTTTCATTATTCATGTCTTTTCTTTCTTTCTTTCTTTTCATTATTTAGATGGCTTTCCTTCCTTCCTTTTCCTCTTTTTTCTTTTGCTTGTTCATATGTTCTGTCTTTCTTTTCATTATTCAGATGGCCTCCTTCCTTCCTTCCTTGACCTCTTCTGATTTTTCATTACTCATATGTTCTTTCTTTTTTTTTTTTTTTTCTTTCTTTCTTTCTTTCTTTCTTTCTTTTCATTATTCATATGGTCTGTTTTTCTTTCTTTCTTTCTTTTAATTATTCAGATGGCTTCCTTTCTTTTTTTCTTTTTCCTCTTCGTTTTCATTATTCATGCCCTTTCTTTCTTTCTTTCTTTCTTTCTTTCTTTAGATGGCTTTCCTTCCTTCCTTTTCCTCTTCTTTCTTTTCCCTGTTCATATGTTGTCATTCTTTTCATTATTTAGATGGCCTCCTTCCTTCCTTCCTTCCTTCCTTCCTTTACCTCTTATTTTTCATTATTCATATGTTCTTTCTTTCTTCCTTTTCATTTCTTTCTTTCTTATGATTATTCAGATTGTCTCCTTTTTTCTTTTTCCTCCTCTTATTTTTCATTATTCATATGTTCTTTTTTCTTTCTTTCTTTCTTTCTTTTCATTATTCAGATTGCCTTCTTCCTTCGTTCCTTCTTTTTTCCTCTTCTTACTTTTCATTATTCATATGGTCTTTCTTTCTTTCTTTTCCGTTCGTTCGTTCGTTCGTTCTTCTTCTTCTTCTTCTTCTTCTTCTTCTTCTTCTTCTTCTTCTTCTTCTTGTCGTGTCTTTTCAGGACGAGGCCGATCACAATGCTCTGTCCTTTGTAACTCTCAGTAAACTCCGTCTTGTTGCTATCTTTCCTCATCCTTGTCCTGCCAGCCATTTACACGCACTTGGGTTATTTAGTATGGCTTATCTCCCATTAATTCATTATTATCTCCCCAAAATCTTATAACCTAAGATTATTTTCTGAGAACTTGATGTCATTAGGAAGGTCATTGATGAAAATGAAGGACAAAGCAGGTCCAAGGATAGAGCCCTGGGATGTCACCTGTATTAGTACAACAATTCTTCTTTGGATTTTATTATCAAGAATCTCTAAATATATATCAGAACACTGGACCATATATATATATATATATATATATATATATATATATATATATATATATATATATAAAAAAAAAATAAAACAAAATATCCTTAGCAACTGAAAGAATTTAGAGAATGCTATTTTCATACTGTTAACTGAAAATTACGTCAATTACTGTCACGTGTAGAGATATTGTTTTTATTGCTGTGTTGACGGATTCAACCATTTTCTTTTGATTTCACAATATTGTTGTGTACGTTCATTTGGGAGAGTAGTAATTCTCTTAAGAAAGGTGAAGCACAAAAGAGTCCTCACAAAAAACAACTTAGCTAATGCACTAGTCATACATAGAAATAAATTCAACCACAATTTGGATTTTAAAAATGCTACACTCATAAAAAAAGAAAATAATTCACTCAGAAGGAAAATCCTAGAGAGTGTAGCCATTGAATATTACCCAAATATTAATCTACGTCCAGGCTTTTCCCTATTTCACCTTTCTTAAGGTTCGAAATGTTATTTTTGCCATTTGGCAGTGAAACAGTTAAGAATAATAGCTTTGTTCCCGAAAATATCAGAGAGACTTTTGGAGGGATATATATGTTTGCTGGGGGAATTTTCAACAAATTTACAAGTGTGTGCCCGACCCCAGCGGTGAATACTGCTTGCTCCTATTCTTAATCGATATTTCAAGCTGATTTCTTTTCTCCAGCTCACTGGCCAAAGGCGAGGTTTTATAGTTAAGGTCATGAATAACTTATTGATCTGCGTGCAATGATCTAATAATAAAAACAAGTTAAACCTTGCCGTTATCTGAGCAGAAGAAAAGCCGGGTTAATTGATTTGAAACATGCAGATGCTATCTCTATGATTGGTTCTCGGCAGTGACCTCGATCTCAAAATAACATCTGACCCCCCGCGGTTAATACTGAGGTATGCAGGAATTGTTTTGTTTGAACTTGTTTCAACAGCGGGCAACGAATAGATCAAATAAAGTACTTTTTTTAATCTTCTCTTGGTAGAAGCATTGTATTTCTGAAGGTTTCATGTTATTAAGTACATGGATGTTTACATTTATGATCCCGAATGCCACTCAAATTCTGGATTATACTCATTAAGTAAGAATATTCCAGATTATGACCAGATATCAATTCCAGCCTTGATAGAGTTTTATTTTTTTATGCCGTCTTGTGTGTGTTATTTCCCACCCTGCAGCCTCTTTTCCACACAGATGCATATTTGCCTGCCTGTCACCATTGTTATTTCCACAGCAAATCCTTGATAGCGCCTCGTTACGCCTACTTGGTTTCACGCTGTCCACTGACCTGAGGTAGAATAAATACATTGAATCAATAGCTTCATCTACCGCAAGGAAAGTTGGTTCATGTGTCGTGCAAGAAAATTTTTCTCGTCTGAGTTCATCCTTCAAATCTATAAATCAACCACCCGTCCTTGCATGGAATATTGCTGTCATATATGGACTGGTGTTCCTGCTGTACGTCTCGAGGGCCTTGACAAAATCCAGAGACGAATATGCAAGGTCGTAGGTCCTGATCTGGCATCTAGACTACAATCGTTATCCCACAGACGTGCTGTAGCTTCCCCCTGTTTCTTCTATCAATAATTTCACGGCAACTGTTTCGACGAGCTACTGCCACTGGTTCCCGGACCATGAATTTAAACGTACTACCTGGCTGGCATCTCAGTCTCACCCTTTTAATGTCAAAACGGTTAGATGTAGCCGATTCTTCTTCTCAAACAGTTTCTTCTCCTGCACTTCCCATCTGTGGAACTCCCTTTGCCTTACTTGCTTCACTAATGACTATAATCTGCATATATTCAAATGTAATGTCAATCGACATCTGACACCCTGAGCTTGTTCCTCGTCCTCCTCTGTATCACTTTCTCAAACACGCATATTTACTCTTGTTCTCAACCCTCTGTAACCCCTTGCGTGTTACTGGTACTCCCGCCTTGCTTGGGGTGAATTATCTTTAAAAAAAGAAGAAAATATTAATGTCAGCTCCATACTCTACTTCCATCAGCACAGAGGTTTGCGGCACGGACATGCTATGCTATTGCCACGGAGTCACATCAGCGTTCCAAATATAAATAAATTTCACCTTAAGCAAGGCAATAAAGTCACTAAGACGCAAAGGGGCGATAACTGGATGTTAGAGAATATGAAAAAATAGTATTAAGCAGAGAGAACAATAAAAGAAAAAGAATTAAGCAAATAGAAGATAACGATTGACATTGCCTTGAAATTTTTGCTTAATTTTGTTTAGCGACATATTAACTTCCATAGGTTATTTAATGCCGAAGTATAAATATTTTGTACGTCATTTTATGCTTTAAAATACAGATATTTTAACATCACACACCCAGGGTAAAGGAACATTTTTTTTTCAGATATATAGTTTGTACATCATAAAATGTTTTGTTGATAATTTTACTATAAAAATGTTTTTATATTTTTATAGCCTTGCATTGAGTGTCATTTTGCCATACAAATGTATATTGTTGGTCATTTTATTATAAAAATGTGCTGTGGATTTTTGTTTGAGGGTTCACTATTTGCCCATAGCTGGGACCCTAACAGGTGCTACCACCCCAGGTAGTTGAACCTGGGAACAACAGCAGTTAAGAGGTGTTTCCACGCTTCTTAAAAAACCTCCAATTTCCCGATCAGAGGCCTTGCTGCCGGATGTAGTTTGTCGTCATACACAGGACTTGCAATTAAGAGGTGATTCCACGTTCCCCCAAACCTTCAATCTCCTGATCAGAGGCGTTGCTGCCGGATGTACTTTAACATCATACCCAGGACTTGCCATTAAGAGGTCGCCCCACACTCCTCAAAGCATCCAAACTCCTGAAAGAGGACCGATGTAGTTTATCATCATTTTTTTTAATCAGTATCACCCCATGCAAGTTAGTAACGTCACAGGCTGTGGAAAAATTTTTACAGATTAAAGTTGGTTGGAAAGCATAGAGCCGGAATGGAGTTCCACAGGCGAGAAGTGCGAAAAAAGAAACTGTTAGCAGAGAACTTGCAGCTACAAATTCATAAAGTCTAGGTACCATAGGTACCACTTTATGTCAGCTGAGAACGTTAACCCGATAAGGCGCGACAAGTCACTTTCCTGGAGGTTAGCATCAGCCATGCTGATGGAAGGCAGGGAAGGGTCACTGAGATTATTAATGGAGAGAAGTTTAGTTTTGGAGGCGTTAGAATTAATAAGCGATCTTTTGTCGCAGTTGACAACGAACTTAAGGTTGTTTTAGACAACGAATGTCATTTTAACCTTGTCGGACGGATCAGCCTTACTATTGACACAGAAGTAAATGTTTGTATCATTTTCAAAATTGAAATATACATGATACATATATATATATATATATATATATATATATATATATATATATATATATATATATATATATAAAAATGTATATGAAATATACATATATATATATATATATATATATATATATATATATAAACTGAGGCAGTAGGAAATGAAAAAAAAATCTATATGATATATATATATATATATATAAAATATATATATATATATATATATATATATATATATATATATATATATATATATATATATATATATAAAATATACATGATATATATATATATAATTATTTTTTATAAAAAATTATAACATAAGTATGTTATAAAATCACTACAAAAAATAGCCATTTTGTTTCAACACACTCTGTGTCTTATCAAGTGATGATGTTGAAAAGAAAATAAATGGTTTTAAAAGTTTCAGATTAATTAACGATCCTACACTAGGGGGGAAACATTGTTACAAAAGCTAGAATAACCAATCAAAAAACGAAGTATAGAAAGATTCAAAAAAACAACGAAATCATGTTATAATAGCTATTCAGATCTTTAAATACGTGTAATATTAAAAATAATTTATACTAACCAATAATTGTAAAATTATATGATAAAATTTAATATTAAAATTAAAAACTGGCAATTTTAAAATCCAAATTTAATCACTATTAAGTTTCAAAACTACAAAATTATTGAGAAAAGAAAGAATATATATGTTTATTCAATTCATTTCTTCATTGAAATTACGTTCGACAAGACGCTACAATATATCCGGTCATTTGACAATACATGTATATATATTTTTTTCTTTTCCCTTTCTTTTCCTATTTTAATGTGTGTGAATGTGGTCTTAAACTCACGCGCAAAACAACAAAAACACAATCAGATTATAATACATAAGCACCCAGACATAATTAGATATACACACACACACATACACACACACGCATACACACACACACATACACACACACTAAAAAAAAAATGGGGGGGCGAGACATGAACATTTCTACAGCCCTTTATGAAAAAAGGAGACGTAGAAACTAACACTTATACACATACACAGAGTTAAATGTGAATACACTCTACATACACATAGACACCGATAGATACACATACATACATCCACAGACAATGACATGACATAGACAATCAGATATCACAACCAATAAATATTTCAGACTTAAATAAATGCTAACCACTTATATTATATAAATAATATTATTTTTAACCATTTTTATCTTTGTATATTTGCTCCCTTAAGTTATAATTTATATAACTTAAGGGAGCAAATATACAAAGATAAAAATGGTTAAAAATAATATTATTTAATATATTAAAAAGAAAATTCCAAAACTATAAATATCAATAAAAATATATATTAATCATATAAGTTGATAATAGTTTCATTATATATTAGGCAAAGAAAAACAGATGGAACAATGTCGGACGGATCAGCCTTACTATCGAGGCAGGAGTAAATGGTTGTTTCATTTTCAAAAAATGAAATGAACACGTTATCTATTTAGTAAATTAATAACGTGTGCATTTCATAACGTGTGCATTTTCCTGTATGTTTTTGCTTTGTGCCATTTTTTTCCAATTTTCCCACTTGTGCCATTTTTATTTGCACCACTGACCCGTATATATAAATAGTCATTAAAAAAACACAACTCATGTGGCCTGATGTTTGCATTTAGCCTGAAACAGTCTGTCGCCTCTGAGTTATGACTACAATGTTCACTTATATATATATATATATATATATATATATATATATATATATATATATATATATATATATATATAAAAAATATTGTCAGCAATACAATTTTGAAAAAAATATTACCATCAATACATTTCTGAAAAAAAAATATTACCAGCAATATATTTTTGAAAAAAAATGTCCAGCAATGCATTTTTGTAAAAAATATTACCAGCAATCCAAGCAATGCATTTTTGAAAAAAAATTATTACCAGCAATATATTTTTGAAAAAAAATATCAGTAATACATTTAATAAAAAAAATAATACCAGTAATACATTTTTGAGAAATGATATTATCAGCAATACATTTTTAAAAACAACAACAAAGACAAGGACAATAATCTGCATGTAAATGGTTTAAATAATGATAACTTCTCATCCCAGAAATTTAGACAGAAGTTAATAATTTGTTTAGACAGACCAACGAACCAAAGCTATATCACGAAATCGAACCCACATCATTATACGGTGGCTTTTTGATAACTAATATACGAACCTGAACATAAATATCACCACAAACCAAGTGGAATTGTAATTCAATGGACGACGCTAAACTTTGCCAGTCTTACTGAGATTGACAGGTGATGCCTTGTGTTTGGTGTCGTGATCATAACAAGGGCAACCTCGTGTACTTTCTTCCATATCACAAGGGGAGTAAGGAAAGCTAAACTAAATTGCAAGATATGCGTCTGGTCATTAAATACAATTCGTCCATGCCATGAATATTGCTGTCACATCTGCTCTGGTGCTTCTGCTGTTTATTTGCAGATTAGTGATAAATTACAAAGATGAATCAGCAATAGTATTGATCCTGACCTGCCATCTCAGTTTCAGTCCGCATGCAAATAGTGCAAATTAGTTTATCCTGTTATTTAACACATAGCCGGAGAGCCGGGGACTAGAGTTGGATTAATGCATTTCGTAAGGAAATTAGCGCTAAATGAACACAAAAGACTAAACCAGAATTTGAACTCGGCTCACTGATTTCACGCCCGGTTTTGCTAAACTACCCGCACATCAGGCATGTGAGAGAAGTTTTAAGGTGATTTATTCAGAATTGTTGACTGGATGCCTAGCCATCAAAAAATAAAAAAATAAAATAAAATGGAAGCAGTGTCATGACGTCTTCCTGTTATGGATAAGAGCTGAAGTGTCTATGAAATGCCTAACGAGTTTTCTAAATCGCTTTTGACATTTATTAAAAAGAAGTGCATCGTGACCTTTACTTAAGCCAGTCAAATCCTCGTTAGTGAGAAGAGGTTAAGAATGTTTTGTTTGGTCGCTTCGAAGATACATCTTTGAAATTTACGTTCTTCCAAACACAATGAATGAAAATTGCTTAGCGACGTTCGATTGTTGATTCATTCTTGGCTTTACTTGTATGTTTCTCATATCGATTCCGCATCTAATCTTTTTTTTTGGTCTCAAATGTTTTCACAGGCTGAGTCTGTACTTATGAATGCTTTTAGGTATCCGTTTGGCATTCTGTGTCGTATCATATGCCTTACTTAAGAATACAAGCTTTTGAAGTGCATAATCTTGGATGTGCATGTGGCGTAACGGTCAACGGCGTGTAAAGTGGAGTTGGCTAGCCAAGTTCAAGTTCCAAGCAAGTCTGTTGCATTAGCCCTAATGTCCTCCAGAAAGACCCAAATCTGTCTCTTCTTACCCCTGAAAGTATATTTTTTTAAACTCATACTTGAAGGGGTAAGAAGCAGGGTAGACGGATTTCTCTAGAATGAACACTCTGAATTCAAATTGTGGATATGGCAACGGGAAATAACTTCGCTCACTTACCCAACAACTTATAGTAATTCAAAGATGACAAAGAAATGAATAGGATGCTGTGGAGAGCCATGATCGCTTATCTCGTGAATACCTCATGAACAGACATGGTATTTTTAATGCCTTGTCTATTCATGAATAGACATAGTATTAAAAATACCATATCTATTCATGAGGTATTCACAAGATAAGCGATCATGGCCCTTCACAGCTTTATTTTCTTTTCTTGTGATACACATGGATACAAAGTTTGTCGTGGTCGTTGGATGTTTCAGGTCTTCCTTACTCAGGCGGCCTCTTCGGTATCTTTCCAGGTAGAGTTAGTTACGGCAGTCATCTCCTGATATACAATTATCATGAAGGAGTTTCTAAATTCTTCGGTGATCAACTTTCGGACACTTTGCCTACTTGCTCCTGTGGTGCACATTCTATTTACTGGAAGGGATATTGAACTCTTCGTAACCGTTCTTACAATAGATGGTTGTCCAGAACAGTGCTGTGGTAGTATACCTTTCTATTATTAAAGTATTTTTTCTATTATTAAAGTATTTTTTCTATTATTAAAGTATTTTTTCTATTATTAAATATCTTTTCAATTATTAATGTATTTTCTATTATTAAAGCATTTTTCTATTATTACAGCATTTTTCTATTATTAAAGTATATTTTCTATTATTAAAGTATCTTTTTTATTATTAAAGTTTTTCCTATTATTAAAGTATTTTCTATTATTAAAGTATTTTCTATTATTAGAGCATTTTCCTATTATTAAAGTATTTTCTATTATTAAAGTATTTTTCTATTATTAAAGTATTTTCTATTATTAGAGCATTTTCCTATTATTAAAGTATTTTCTATTATTAAAGTATTTTTCTATTATTAAAGTATTTTCTATTATTAGAGCATTTTCCTATTATTAAAGTATTTTCTATTATTAAAGTATTTTCTATTATTAAAGATTTTTGTATTATTAAAGTATTTTCTATTATTAAAGTATTTTTCTATTATTAAAGTATTTTCTATTATTAGAGCATTTTCCTATTATTAAAGTATTTTTCTATTATTAAAAGTATTTTCTATTATTAGGGCATTTTCCTATTATTAAAGTATTTTCTATTATTAAAGTATTTTCTATTATTAAAGATTTTTGTATTATTAAAGTATTTTCCTATTATTAAAGTATTTTCTATTATTAAAGTATTTTTCTATTATTAAAGTATTTTCTATTATTAGAGCATTTTCCTATTATTAAAGTATTTTCTATTATTAAAGTATTTTCTATTATTAAAGATTTTTGTATTATTAAAGTATTTTCTATTATTAAAATATTTTCCTATTATTAAAGTATCTTTTCTATTTTTAAAGTATCTTTTCTATTAAAATATCTTTTCTATTATTAAAGTATTTGTTCATGACAAATAAAATTGAACAACAATTATCTTATGAAACAGTTACGTTTTAAAACTGGACTATATTTTTCATGTACGAAGGTAAAATGCTTTCTTTTTTTTCTTTCCTAATTTCCGCTTAACTATTGATGTTATTTTCTACCGTTTAAAGATATTTCATTTTTCAGCTGGTCTGGGGGGTGGGGGGTCAATACACGAAACACCGAGCAACATACAAAAAATAAAAAATAAAACACAACAAAGATAAATAATTAAAGAACTAAATTCCATGAGAAATGCCAGACCGAAAAAGTGTCATTGGTAAGACAATAAACTACGTGCAACAGCAAGGCCTCTCATCAGGACGTTTTGAGAAGCGTAGAACCACCTCTGAATTGCGGGTCTTCCCAAATCCACCCTGAACTGGCGTGGTAGCACCTATTAGGGTTCAATCAATGGGCAAATAGTTAGACCCCAGAGTGGGGTTAAAACACTATGAAAGTGTAAAAATAGGTTTTATTACCAGTAATACATTTCTGAAGGAAAAACTATTACCAGCAATAAGTTTTTAAAAAAAATATTACCAGCAATAAAAATCTTGTTGGCATTAAATAATCCATTGAGGTTGATATACCGTAAAACAAACCAGAAAAAATGCCAGACCGAAAAGTGAGTGGAATATATAATATCTAATATTACTAGAATCCACCGGTATTATATACCAACGGATCGATTACCTGTACTATATATATATATATATATATATATATATATATATATATATATATATATATATATATATATATATATATATATATATCCGAGAAATTTCACCATCACTCATATATATAGGCTATTCGAAAGTCACTATGCATGTATATCTTTATTAACAGACATGCTTTAATATAGAATACAGGAGAAGAATATGATTTAAAATTATAAATATTATTGCTAAAACCATATTGGCGTGAAATTGGAACGATAAAAATACGACTTGAAAAGTTCACGGTATTTTTCGAATACCCGATATATTGAAATGAATTCAAAGAAAAATGAACAAGAACAATTTAAAAAAATGTCATTTTTTTATCTAACAAAATCAAATATGTCATTTTTGCGTGAGAGAGTTTCTTGCAATAAAAATATATATTTATTATGATAATCAAACGCGAAGTCAAGAGACAGAAGACCTCTCAACTTCTCAGTTTTAAGGGAATTCAATGGGAGAAAATTCTCTGTAGATTCAAAGTGATTTTGTTTTTATTACAGATTGTTAGATCCTCGACAGACTTTTACTGCGCAGCGTCACAATGAGCAATTGGTTATTTTGAATGACGCATTGGAATAGAAATGAACTTTTTCTAATCAAGAAAGTCGACAGGTGATTTTTGATGCATAACAATGTCGATAGTTTTTTTTATCCTGGAGATGGAATGGAAAACTCTATCATATACAGAGTTCTTATTTTTTTTTTAATGACACGTCGTTTTAGGGCGTAGTCGATTTCTACCTATTTATTTATTATCGATGAACTGCTTTGATTTCTTGGAAAATAGTAGAATAATTTCACGGTACCGTTTCCATGTTTTTTTAATTTAAAGACGTCTTTCTCTTAGAGTGCTTGTCACTCAAGCTCAGAGCGTCCTATCTACATTACTATTTAATCCATAGCTAGAGAGGGAGAAGGAATTGAATTATGCTGATTGAAAGTGCATTAGGGTGAAAATATCTCTTTCATTTGCATTTCTTTCTTTTTTTTCTTTCTGCAGTTTTCACGTACCCATTCAGTTTTTCTTTTGTTTCTTTCTTTCTTTCTCTCTTTTTTTCTTATATACTTTCTTTTTTTTCCAATTTAAATCTTCCTTTTCACGTTATATGTTCATTCAGTCATTTTCTCTTTCTTTCTTTGCAGTTTTCATCTAATCTTTCATTTGTTTTTCTTTCCTTCTCTCGATTTCTTTCTTTCTTTCTTTCTTTCTTTATTTATTTCTTTCCTTGCAGTTTTCATATATCTTTCTTTCTTTCTTTCTTTCTTTGCAGTTTTCATATAACCGTTCATTTTCTTTCTTTCTTTCTTTCTTTCTTTCTTTCTTTCTTTGCAGTTTTTTATAACCGTTCATTTTCTTTCTTTTTTCTTTTTTCTTTTTTTCTTTCTTTCTTTCTTTGCAGTTTTCATATATCCGTTCATTTTCTTTCTTTCTTTCTTTCTTTCTTTCTTTCTTTCTTTCTTTGCAGTTTTCATATAACCGTTCATTTTCTTTTTTTCTTTCTTTTTTCTTTCTTTCTTTCTTTCTTTCTTTCTTTCTTTCTTTCTTTCTTTCTTTCTTTCTTTCTTTTTTCTTTTTTCTTTCTTTCTTTCTTTCTTTGCAGTTTTCATATAACCGTTCATTTTCTTTTTTTCTTTCTTTTTTCTTTCTTTCTTTCTTTCTTTCTTTCTTTCTTTCTTTCTTTCTTTCTAACCCTACCCTTCCATATGTTATATGTTCTTTTTTTTATTTCTTCTCTAATCTTCTCACCTTTAATGATTTGCTTCTTCCTTTAACTATTTTTTTTTCTTCTTCGACTTTTCCACCCATTAATCATTTAAAGATTAAATAAATCCTGCCTTGTAAAATTAATCATAAAAGTCTTAACCCAATGAGCTGTCCGACCGCTTTTTTCCCGTTTTTTATTCTTTCAATAATCTCGATTAATTAGTTAATGGCCATATGTAATCGGCTCATCAGAAAGAAGGTTAAAGGCACCTCAGCAAAAAACAAAAAAAATAAAAAACGATAAGTTGAAGAAATGTTACTTGAAGTGATTGTTGATTGGTTGAAGCAATTGACTGAACGAGACTCGATTAACTGTTCTGCTGAAATGTCACATATTCAGTGTAGCGATTTCTAAAATGAATATAAAGTGGAAAGTGGAGGGTAGATATAAACTGACAGATCTATAAAGAATGGGATGCATGCAGCAAGAAGGATAGACACACACAGAGACACATACAGGCATATATATATATATATATATATATATATATATATATATATATATATACACAAACATATATATATAGATATAAATGTGTATGTGTGTATTTAGGCAGAAAATTCTCTTTTAGGCATGTCTGATTAAAAAAAAATTACAATCATTATGTCTGCTTATTTTTAGCATAATCCTTTCATATTCGCGGATATTTTTCCGTGTATTGCAATCAGATGATGCAAAAAATGTAATGTAAAAGTTAGAAATCACTTTTATTTCCCAAGTACTTTACCTGATGACGATCTCAGAAAGTGATTGAAAATATTTGGGAAATAAAAGTGATTTTCACTCATAGAGTGCATTTCTTACATCATTTGATTGTAATACACAGGAAAATATCCGTGAATCTGAACGGATTATGCTAAATTAATCAGGCATAATGTTAGTAATTTATTTAATAAGACACACACACACATATGTATATATATATATATATATATATATATATATATATATATATATATATATATATATATATTAAGCATTTCACCCCAAGCAAGGCAGGAAGCCACTAGGACACAAAGGGGTTACAGAAAATTTAGAGCAAGATCAGATAGGAGTGATAAAAGAAAGGATGAGGAGAAGGGTAGTGGATAGATCAAGGCAACTGGAGATGTCGATTGACATTACACTTGAATAGCTGGAGATTATAGCTCTCAGGGAAACTGGAATAGGGAAGGGAGTTCCACAGGTGAGAGGTGCGAGATATGAAGCTATTGGAGTAGAAGAGACGGCTACATTTAGGAGTTTCGACAGTGAAGGGGTGAGAGCGGGATGCCAGCCTCGTAGGGCGCTTGAATTCATGAAGTCTGGGAACCAGCGAATGCAGCTCCTCGGAGCAATTTCCATGAAAGTATTTGTAGAACAGACAGAGAGAGGCGACGGCGCGTCTGTGAGAAAGTGACTGTAGACGAGATGCCAGAGCAGGGCCAATTATATTGCATATCCGCCTCGGGAGCCTATCAAGAACCCCTAGGCAAACAGAAGGGGCACCAGACCATATATAGCAGCAATACTCCATGCAAAGGCGAATTGTTGATTTGTAGGACCGATTCCGGGGAGAGAAATTTCCTGGCGCGGCACAGGGAGCCAACTTTCCTTGCGGTGGACGAAGCAATTGACTCAATGTATTTGTTCCATCTCAGGTCAGCAGTCAACGTGAGACCGAGCAGGCGCAGAGAGTTGCTCTCGAGAAGTTGAGCGTCAGACATTCTAATGGAGGGCAGGGAAGGATCTCTGTGGTGATTAATAGAGAGCAGTTTTGTTTTTGAAGCGTTAAAGTTGACCAGCCAATTCCTGCCCCAGTTCACAACCGATTGGAGGTCCTTTTTCGAGACGCACGGCTTGGTTAGTTTTGTTAGTGACACTAGATTTGTTTTTGAGGCAGGAATAAATTGTGGTGTCATCCGCGTAGATATAACATATATATATATATATATATATATATATATATATATATATATATATATATATATATATATATATATATATATATATATATATATATATATATATATATATATATATATATATATTGTGACATTTTTATTGAATAATTTAGACAGATTTTGTCTACTTATTTTCAATTGGATCTTTTCATATTCCCGGACAAGCTTTTTGGTGTAATTATCGGAGGAAGAGGGAAAACTACTGTGTTGATACATATTATTTTATTTCAAGTACTTTCGACATTAACATAATCTCATCATCATGGTGTTGTTTTTTTATGACAAATATTGTAGTGTTCAATATTTTCAAAGACAAAATTGCTGTGATCATCTCAATTTTTTTTTACTAGTGAAAAAACTATACAGAACGTCATAACTTAGTTACCTCCCCTGAAACGTTACTCAAGTTAAACGCACTAAACTCAGCGTTCTTCACGTACCCCAATTTTGTTTTTACAACAAAATTGGGGTACTGGAAGAGATGTTTGCTCCTCTGCTGAATATGGTTGGCGATTTCACTCGCTACGTCAACAAAGACGCGTAGACTGAAATTCGCTACCCGAAAATTCAAGCTTTACTTGAACCGTTAATTCAAAGTTCAGAAATTCAGAACAAAAATATAACATACAACGTAACTCGAGCTCCTAGCCGGAGATCTGAGAAATTTATTATGTCATGTAGCGCCAACCTCGCAGAAAAACTGCTAGACTTTCAGTAACTCATCGTGTGTGTATTTACATATATATATATATATATATATATATATTTTTTTTAAGACATTTTTTATGTTTTTACATTCTTTTTATTGATACAAATATTTAAGTAAATGCTCTGTTTATAATAAACAGTATTAAACAACATTTACCGGCTTGAATGTCCGAGAAATTTTCATAGAAAATATTCGTCCTCAGAGAGGAATTGAATAACGGAACCATCATATTGCCTGACGTGCCTTAACCGACCGAGCCACGGGGGATCGTTCGATTAGTAAGGTAGATTTTACTGCTTTTAAACTTCAATCTTCCATGAATGAATATTTTATATGAAAATTCCTATATATATATGTCCTGAAGACACTATTAATTCATTTGGTATTACGAGAAGGAAAATGTGAAAAAACAAAGAAAACAATGTTTAACTTCTATGTAATATCAATCGTACTTAATGACAGTGAGATGCCGGACAACTTTCTCATAGAAACTTATAATATTGTTACTTTATATGAAACTGGTTTATATTGAACATATTGCTAGGAAAAGAAACATTAGCTGCATTAGTTGAAGAAACTAAATCAATCTTTTGTATAAAACTGTACGTAAGTATATTGGAACTTTTGGTAGGATTGAATAGTAACCTAGTGAAAATCATTAGTGCCTGGATATACTTAGTAAAAAGGAGGAAAAGCATCTGCTAAAGCTAATGACATACACTTGAGAAATAGTATTAGCATCTTGTTTAGTAATCTACTATTTGAAGAGAGTGATTTCAATATAGAACAATCAAGTATGATTGTAGATAAAGTGAAATGTCATTATGACAATTGTCTTTGATATTTTTTTATTATAACTTATCACAGAAAATTAAGTCTTTGACTCAGAGTAAAAAGAAGAACTTTTTGATTAAGAGATGATTTCCAGAGATTTTGAACAAGGGAAGTGATTAATAATTGTTAGTACTTAAAAGTAGGAACACAGAATTTCATGGGGACAAGCTGTTTATTTATGGCCGATCAGACAATTGCCAGTCTGTTGAAAACAACAGGAAGCTCACATCTAAATTATATATATATATATATATATATATATATATATATATATATATATATATAGCACACTGAGTGCTGATGTTACGTGAAGATTGCGCTGTGCATGAAACTCAAAGTCGTGTTACTGGTGAGGAAAAATGTAATATTTATTAATATATATATATATATATATATATATATATATATATATATATATATAGTCATTCACAGACAGGCTGTTTTGCTGTATCACAGATCATCAATGGGGTTAGACATCCGATCGCTTTAAGCCAGGACCGAAAAAAAAAAGGAAAACTTGCTAATCTCCAAAAATGAAGCTTACACTGAGGAGTCTTTTAAAATGAACATTTCGCTCTTTTATATAGAAAGTGCCTGAAAATCATACCACGGATTGATCCAAGCGTTGTGAGTGAAATTGGGTAGACGGAACTTATGTGGACCGTCGATAGCTGTCCCAGCATGAAGGCCCACGTGATCTGATATACAAGGACTCTAGAACCTTGAGGTGAAATGTGGTGTGAGACCTAGATAAAATCAAAAACCGGTCCACACTAAAATTAGCCACACATTCCTTGCTATTTATTGCATGCTCAGCAATAGCAGAGCCAGAACTATTGCTTAGTTGGCTCTTCCTGGCAGACGGATTCAAAATCCTGGAGGGTAAGTTTGGTTTTATTCTCGAATCCAAACGCTGAGACGTCCTCCCTGTGTAGTCGAGTCCACAACTACACTTATATTACTTATATTAGTAAATCACTGAATTAACATGATGGCGCGGGGGGGAGGCGTCCTTACGAATCGAAGAGAAAACAGGACGGGTAACAAATATTACCCTAACATTCGCCGAAAAATAACAGCTATTGATCATACGTGAAATTCGTCTAGATAAAATCTCACCCTTTGTACCAATATAGGGAAGACGCAAATAAACTGGACAATTTATCAACAAAATGCGGCTTAACCCTATGAAATTAATTTATGACATCATGGATAATGGAGTCTAAAACATCCAAAGGATATCCGTTTTTAGAAAGTGTCAATCTAACAAACTCAATTTCACCGCAGAGAAGGCCATCAGTACATATCTTAAGTGCTCTATGAATTAAGGCCTTAATCAAATTAACTTTTCATTGTCTGGGACAAATAAGTCCCAACGCGTATAAAGTCCCGAGAAAGTAGCCTTCCTAAATTACGGAAGTCTCAAACTTGTCAATGATCCTATGAACAAGAGCATCCGAAAAGGAAAGACAATAATTGGACTTAAGAGCAGGATGGACAGAGTTTAATTTGATGGGAAAC